AACTGCGTTGCTCTTTCTACACCCCTTCCCTCAGTCAGCAGTGCCATCTGTGCGAATCTAAGCCTTGGGAGCTCGGAGTTCATCTCGGCGCTCGGTGAGACCTTGCTGCCTGGAACCTCTCCCCTTCTCTCCTTTCAACTGGACCAGTCAAGGGCCAGGCAAACCTGTCTTGGTTCTCAGCTGTCTTCAATCTGTCTATCCCAAGTGAGTGTCATCCTGGACACGCCATGCACCTTGTCTAAAATCTGCGGGCCACAGGCTCAAATCCTCCATGTATCCCAGGACTTCATGATCTGGCCCCTGCTTCCGTCTCTGGCTTTCTAGTCTACCTTTCCCTTCTGCTTCCTCGTAGTCCCATGGGTCAACTACTCGATTGCCTGCCATTCCTTGAGTGCACATCGCCCTCCTTTTGGGATTTTATACTAACTGTTCCTTTCCAAAGCACCTTTCACTCACTCAACCTCCTCTCAGCTTCTGCGATGAACTCCTTCGGCTGAAGTGAGTATTCTGCGCTGGGATTTTAACCAACACTGACTTCTTTTATAATACTTTTAATTGCTGGCCTCTCCTACTACTGATTTCTTTGACAGCACCATAGTTTTGTACTTTGTAAACATCTGGTAAAGAGGCTTACAGAATGGAGAAATTCTCATTTCAAATATCCTATAAAAATAGAAATGAGAAATCATAATATTACAACTGTTCCACCCAACAATCTGAATTTGACCAAAGAAGCAAGCAGTAAGTTCTTGAATATATACTCTCCTAATCATCTAGACCTCAACAGCAGCAACAGCCTTCTTGGTCCATGTAAAAAGACAACCTAAAAGTGGTCCTGAACCCTAACTTGAACACAGCTTAGAAAACCCATTTCTAGAGAAGTATGGTTAGAACAGCAGGCACCTGCTGGCTCTGAAGCCCACAGTAGGGGCCTCTGTATACAATGATGAAGGGTCTGGCCATTTTCCACAAGAGGGGATCCACAACTTTCATCCATTCCCAGAAGACTCCATGACTTCAAAATTGTTAAGGATCATAGACTTATACAGATGAAGTAGGTGCTTCACAAGTATGTTAATAGCTTTAGGGGGACAAATACTAAAAACATTAAAAGTACTCTTCTTTTAAAAAAATATTCTTCCTATATATTTTGCATGTACTAGATTTAAGTGGGAAAATATAGTTTGAAAATATTTATGGGCAAATGACTTGGAATTTATTGATATCTCCTATTAACTATGCATTATTACTCAGAAGATCAAAGCCGTACATGAAGGACACTCTTGAATCAAAGAGTAATACAAAAAGAAAAGGCAATGGTAGATTTAAGAAGTGCATCTTCTGACAGCTGAGAACAACAAACTAAAGTTTACAGAAGCAAAAAGCCAAAGAATGCAACGTTATTATCAATCGTCTCGAGTATAGGACTAGTTTAAGTTCACAAGAAAAGTAGTAAAAAGAAACAGGTGCAGGAAATGAGCTGAAATGAACGCAGTAATGGGAAACTCTTAAAACGCACCCTCTGTTAACCCATGGATCCAGCAGGGACAGATGTCTTGTGGACCTAACTGGAAACATGCAGAGCGTCCAGGTATTGATGGTGAGAAGCCTCGGTGACATTCAGAAACGCTAGCGATTTACAGTCTAGATCCGGATGTCATAAATACACACCGTGTAACATGAGATTTGACGTTGATAACACCGTACAAGACAGCAGCATAACCCCGGGAAAGCCGCACTGTGGGCGCACTTAACTGTCAGGGCTGCGGCTCCAAATACAGGAACCACACTGAGCTGAAGGCTGCACCTGCCCCTGACACAGGCACGTGAGGAAAGTCAGAAACCACAATTACAACTGACCCAGCGTGGTTGCGTGCGCCCGGGGCCTCAGGACAGACCCGGAAAGATGGTGGGTTCTGTTAAAACAAGGGAAGCGCCTGCCCGGCACTAGCAGAGTTTTCCTCTTCGAAGAGGTGGGTATGTGAGGGGTTAACAGGAAGTGCTTCTACAGAAGACAGGGATAGAGCCGGGCACATACTGGCTCTGCCACCTGCTCTGCCCAGAACCCACACGCCTGGGCACAGCGGTGCCACCCTGACGGCAGACCCATCAACACTGTCCTGACCGTGGGCACACTGGTGCCAGCCTGGTACTGGGCACACCGATGTCGCAGTGAATTTATATGGCACCGATATCAACCAGGCCGTCAGCACCGCTGGGACTTGTGTGTTCCTAGTCAGTTCTCTCCGTGTCTGTACAAAACTATTTCAAGCCTTTTTAAAATTTATTTTTCACTTTAAAAAATTCACCATGACCACTTTCATTTCTCTCAGCAGAGGTCCCCAGGCCTTGTGTGCAATCTGAACAAAACCCAACTTTCATACCATCAACCTCCCAACACCCCACACTCTCTCCCTAGAGAGGCAGAGCCCGCCATGCCCTCGTTCCCTCGTTCCCCTTCCGGGCACTGTGCTCCAGATGGCCCACTCCAGCAGCCTTGGGGAGCACACCACTGCCTCTCAGCCTTGTCCTTGTGAACACCAGACAGGCGGGTCTCTCCCATCCAGAGGAAAGCCTCCCAGTCACAGCTAGCCCTGCCCGTGAACGGACCACACCATTTCCACTTCCCAGCCTCCCAGGGCCTTCTCCGTGGCCCCAGCTCGCTGCTCAGCCTGCAGAAGTCCTCAGCAGCCTCTCCCCTGGCACTAAGGACACAGTTGCCCTTTCTGCTCTATTTTTAGCTAAGCTTTCCTTCCCTAACCCTCCCTTATTCTTAGTTTCTCGGATGTGACTCTTCCTGGTGCTCCTCCTCCCTCCTTGGCTGGGCTTCTGCTCCTTTACAGGCTCCTCTTCCTCTATCCCTAGAATATTACTGATGCGACTGTTCTCTAGAAAGCCCACTCTTCCCTCACAGGTGGATGACACCACTCACCTGTCTTCCTCTCTTCTGATGTCAGACACATGTACCCAGCTGCCTTCCCAACAGCCCCACGTGGATGGCGTGGCTTGGAGTCCAGTGCACCCCAAAGCTCAGCATCTCCCCGGATCCTACAGTACTGCTCCACGTCCCACCTCCCACACCCTCCACTTCCCTTCCTCCTGCTCAAGTACCTCTTCTCTGCACTCACTGCCATGACCCTGAGTGTTTCTCTGCTTCTGGATGTCCCTGCTGAGTCCTTATGACACTCGACAGTGGTCACCTGTGATACCGTCAGACTTATGCTGACCCGACTGCTCGCCTGTATTATCTGTGACTACCTCCTAATGCCATGTTTGCTAATCCAGCCTCATCCTTAAGCACACCATCACCTCAGGACCCACCACATTGAAACTCTCCCTCTCTTCCTGCACGACACATTCTCTCTGGGTCCTTGTGCATGGTACGATGTCCTCCTCCTCCACCTCTCCACATCTCTCTGACCAACTCGTCTACACACTGCAGCCTTAGCTCAGGCAGCAGCTCCTCCAAGTGAAATGGGTTCAGCATGTGCCTACACAGCGCTCAGTGTATCCCCCGAACACTGGTTTTCTTGTTGTGTATTGAGCTGTTTGTTTTCCCTAGCGCAATATCACTGGCAGGACGTAGGGATGTGCATCTGTTTTATTCCCTACTGTGTCCCTAGTATCTGGAGTACTGCACCTGCATATACAAGGCACTGAATAAGCTTTTGTTGACAGAATACAATAAACAAATGTTACTAGGTCTGCAAAAAGAAATTTGCCCAAAGCCTCATAAGTAAATAAAACTTTAAAAGGTACAACTACTTACGGCAAAAATCCCCCCCAAAAAACCCATTTTTAAAAATCCATGTGAGTATTTCAGTATCCATTGAGCAATGGATCACAAAAGTATTTTTTTTGGCACCAGGGATCAAACTCGAGACCTTGTGCTTGCAAGGCAGGCGGCGGAACCACTGAGCTAAATCCCCAGCCCAGAAAAGTATTTCTTATGAACATGCTCCTTCTTTTCAAGAAAATGAAGACAAAATTACATCAGTACCTGCTTATTTATAACTTACTCCCCTCTCGTTCTTGGAAGATTTTGTTTCATGAGTGGCTATACTTGAATGGAACTGGCCTCTTATAAAAGATGCCAATCAAACCATTCACTTCACTCCCAATTCCCCCAAGAGGAGAAATGAGGGTTCAAAGAAGCTGGGATGGCCGGCCAAAGCCTGTGGTTACCCATAAAGTGGCCTAGCATATGATAACTTGATAGACTAGAAAAAGCAACTCCACAGCTACTCAATAAGCAGAAAGCCACGCACACTACAAGTGCCAGCTCATGTGCTACTACTACGGACTGAATTGTACCCCTCTTCAAATTCACATATTAAAGTCCTAACTCCCCATGATTACAGTACTTCAAGACGCAGTCTTTGGGAGATAATTACATTCAGTTGAGCTCACAAGGCTAGGACCCTCATGGTGGGATTAGGGTCTCATGAGAAAAGACACAAAGAGCTTGCTTTTTCTCCGTCTTCCAGCCAAAAGATCAGAGTGAGAGGATGGCTGTCTCCAAGCCTGGAAGAGAGCCCTCTTCACAGTCCCACCACTGTTACACCTTACCTTGGCTTTCTAGTCCTCCAGAACTGTGAGAAAATAAATTTCCATTGTTTAAGCCACCCGTTTCCTGGCATTTTGTTACGCAACTGATAGAAAATGATACAGGGCCAGGGATTTAGCTCAGTGGTTCTGCCGTCTGCCTTGCAAGTGGAAGGTCCCGAGTTTGATCCCCAGTACCAAAAAAAAAAAAGAAAAAAAGAAAACGATACAGTTGAAGAGTCCATATACTAGTTTCATTTCTTCTCAAATCAATAGCAATATCTTTAAGTCAAATAACAGTAATCTGGTTTGGATTTTTTGTTTCGTAAAAGTGTTACCCCTCACATAACAATTTTAGAAAATGAAAAATAGAAGCGTGAAATCATAAACAGGTATAGCTCAGGCCTACTGGAATACATTATCAATCTAGTAAAAATGATGTAAAAAATACTCACCACCACCAAGAATGTAAGAATCCTGGAGGTTCCCCCAATGTGATGTTTTTTTCCCATCTTATCTAAAATGAATAAAAAAGATATTAAATTTAAAAAGATATTAAATATCTTCTTCATAATAGTTTTTCCCACACATATTACAAAGCAATATTTTTCCATTTAAAATACTATGGTAATTCTTAAGGCTTTCACCATTTTCACATTATCATTCACTTGCGTTTTCCCATTATTCACTTCACACGGTGATTCACACACTGAATTCGTCTCAGAGAGTTCTCGCCATTAATCCCTGCTTGGCCTCCTCACTGCCAGTTCCCACACTCTGTCTCCGCACGATGCTGAGGTGCCAAGTGCACGCCGCCCTGGTCTCCACTGAATGGCTAGGAAACCGTGGTCGGCTCCATGGACCAGGCTAGGCGAGGGAGACCAGGGTGTGAAGAGGGAAAAGCAGCTGCTTCCACTTCCTGGTCCTGCTCTTCCTGTCGGGGTGCACTCATCCGATCGACCCAGGGACCATGACAGCTGTGGCTTCTTGCAGCACAACCGGAGCCAGTCTTCATTCCCCTCAGAGGCACCCACACGCGGGCGACACCTTGCCACACCTTGCCTTGAGTTTGAGGCCAACTTCTGCGGTCAACTCTGAGCCCCGCAGGCCTCAGCAGCCATTCAGCTCCCACCCCGCCCCTATGGGTCTCAAACTCAGCTATGTGAGGCTTCTCCTCTTCTTCTCCTGTTGGCCGCCGCCTCTTCCTTTTGGCCCCTGGACCTCAGTGATTGCTATGGCAATTACTAATTTCACATAACTATAATCGCTGTGTTCCCTTTTTCATTCTTGAAAATCTATTTCCATATTTCCCTACATTACATTCTCTCTGTTAAATATTTAACGTGCTTTCAGTTAATGAGTCTGGATCCTGACTGACATACCTCTACCCATGGTCCCTCATGAAGTAAGAACATTAAAACGCATCCAGCTGAGGCAGATTGAGGCGTGGACTTACACACGGGCTCTCCACGTAGCAGCTGTGTGCACTGGGGAGGGTACTTCAGTCTCCTGTGGCAGTTTCCTTCCTATAACATGGGTAGCAGTATACACCTTCCTCAAAAGGCCGCTGTGAGGAGAGTAAACTGCACAGTGGAAACCACTTAGCAAAGTGACTGAATGCAGTAAATGCCTGATAACTGTTCGCTGTTATTATTTTTCCTTTCCCTAGAAGAGCATCCCTATAAAAACTTACTCCTGCATCACTGTCAACAACACACAAAATTCCAGTGACCTTCCATAAAAAATACTGAAGTATTTCGGTATGTGCCAAACAATTTCAGCTTACTAATCGAAGGGTGTGAAATATCTTTGTGGAAATCTTGCATATATCTAGGAAAAAGAGCAGTTAGTGTCAGAACTAAGGAAGAACTGTTTATGCCTCTGCTATAAATGGGAGAAGTAAATGGTAATCATCTAAACAAAATCAAGCTTTTATTTATTTCAGATCACTTGGGAATTAGTATTCTATGTAACTGACTTATTACATACATAAAATTCAGAGGACCACTAAAATGAAATAGAACCTAACTTCTTAAAAATATTTCTTTACTTTTCACGGACACAGAGAAACGGTATGTATACTGTATGTCTGGGGAGAACAGAGCGGCATTTCAATACAAATACACCATGTGCAATGTCAGAATCAGGGCTACTGGCATAGCTACCACCTCAGGTATTTGCCATGTCTTTGTGTGGGAAGATCCAAAACCCAAACAACACCCACCCTGCTGTGCTGCGGAAAAGCTGGGGCGGCCACCTCCCGCCGACACCCCCGGGCCTGCAGCCATCACTCTCCCCTGCTGCTCACACCTTGAGGCCCTCAGGACCGCTGTGACTCACTGCACTCAGGAGACAAGTGTCTGAGCTTCCACACAGAAGGGAGAATGCACAATACTCGTTTTTCTGCACCTGACTTATTTCACTGAATTCCACTTTTGAAGATTTTGTTCTTTTTGCTGAATCAGAAGGTGTTTGAGAATCTTATGGCACATCAAGATCACCAGCACTAGCGTCAATATGCACATCAGTTACCATCACTGACCTAGAAATTGGTAAGAGACTGGGCTTAATGTGTACACTACATTATGCCTTAAGGATTGAATTTTGGAATAAATTCCTATTTGAGGGAGAGGCACACGTCTTTCATAAAATATGAGCTTAAAAATAAAGATGGTGATACTAACTTTCCAGTTTTTTGCATTTCAGATGGCTCAGACCTCACCATCAAAAAATTTAAATAAATTCAGTGTCATTCAAAGTTAAAAGTTCAGACTAAAGGGCCGGGGATATAGTTCAGTGGTTCTGCCACCTGCCTCACAAGCACAAGGTCCGAAGTTCAATCCCTGGTACCAAAAAAAAGAAGTTGGACTAAATACATTTTACAAAGTAAATACAGAAGATAGAAATCTGGATGGGTATTTACATGGTAGCTTTTCTAAGAACTGGATAGCAGTAAAGACAAAAGATAAAAATCCCTTCCCTCAAATACATCACACCGTAGTGGGTGGGGAGAGCTGTATTTACAGGAGAAGGTAAAAATGCTATGGACAGGAGGGGGCGGCACACAGGGACAGCAGGAGAACAGAGAAAGGAGGAAGAGTTTTAAATAATGTTATCCAGAGAGGCATCAAAATACTCTACCTATAAGGATACGCCTTAGTTTTTTAGTTTAGATAATAAAAATTATTTAACTATGCCCCAAACAGAAAAATATGTTCACAGGCCTTTGACACTACAAACAAGTAAGCAACTGTAATTACAAATTTCATAAAAATTCAAGGGACTGTGTTCATCATTTACTATGGGAGCAGTTAGCTATTCTTGTTCATATACCCAAAGGGCTTTTTAAAAAACCCAGCAAACAACAAGAAGAACAAAAACTCTTTAAACCGAAAACTGAGACTGTGCCCGTGCGCGCACACGCGCGCGTGTGTGTAGGGGATCCTTTAAGGAACAGATGGGAAAACAAGGACCATTAAAATCACTGAAACTGGGGACAGCTTTTAGGGTTTGAAGTGCATAAAAAGTAAAACAATGATAGCTTTGAAGGAGACAAGTAATTTGCTCTCAAAAACAGATTTGGGCTGGGGAGTTAGCTCAGTGGCACCGTGCCTGGCTCGAAAGCGCAAAGTCCTGAGTTCAATTCCCGTACCAAAAAAAAAGAATTTTCTAAAGATTAGAATGTGATGGGCATTTTAAAAGAATAAATGGAGGACTTCCAGAATTAATGAAGTTAGAAAGATTAAATATTAACAATAAACCAGAACGTGATATAAATGTAAGCCAGATTCTAATTTGAATTCTCCTAAGAAGTAACGAAAATAATTTCTGTATCTTTATCACCTTTGTCAGATGATTGCAGGTGATCAACATTATGCCATGAAAAATGAGGACCTGCACTTGATGGGACTGAGCAGACTCCGACGGCCTGCTGAAGTTAGTGTGGCAGAAAGCCTAGGCCCGTCCTTCTCTCCGCATCTGCCTCACCATCAGGTCCTATGGGGCCTCCTGAAGGAGCCCAGAGCAGGGCCTCCCAGGTGTGTGGACACACTGACGTCCCCAGGCCCTGCGGTCACACTCACCACGGAGCGGCAGGCTCACATCTCCGCTTGGCTCACCCTGACTTTACCTAATATGCCTATGAAATACAGCAGACTTCCAATTAATCACTACCCTTAATTAAAAGAAGGAGAATGTGGGCTGAGTTCCAGAAGAGGAGTTACAGGGACATAACTAGGTCTCGGGCCAGGGGCCCTGCAGGAAGGATCAGACTCACAGCCTAACGAGGCCCATCGCCCATCACAGGACGCCAAGCCTGAGCTGCCTCCCTCTGCACTTCCGCAGCCACCTCCAACTCTTTCTGGGGACAGGCAGGTGAGCAACTGCCTGCAAGGCTTGTAGCTGACACGGGCTTTCAGGGGAGGGAGCCTGAAGGTGATCCATGTGTAGTTTTAAAAGCATTCCATCTTATTACTCCTCAGAGAAACTCTAAGTGCCTCGCATACATCATTGCTTTCAGCATCATAATATTTTTACCATATAGTGAATAGAGTTCATCTTTCTCACTTTCAATGACAAATCTGTGCCAGAAGCAGCTAGCACGTGGGTCCATCACACTGAGCACAGAAGCCACCCTTTGATAGCTACTGGATGAACAACACTCAAAGCTCTAAGGACTTCCACAGAATAGTTCTTCGCAGACGGATGTTTCCAGGGTGAGTGACATGCTGCTGCCTCCAAACAAATCCCTGCCCCCAGCACTACTTGTGAATAGAAAGGAGGGAAGAGAGCTCAGGAAATGGCCTCAGAGCAATGACCTGCAGACCAGGCAGCACCCACTGCAGCTTCGCAAGGAAGGAGAGGGTCGGAATCAGTCTGAAGAGCACTCAGCAACAGTGAGCGTAAAATCGGCTGTGCTCTTACACCTCAGAAGTGCGCCATCCTTACAAGAACAAGCCCTGTCTACATGGAGGCAGGACGGCACATTGGTTTCTAAAGCTGGAAGTCTGGAGGACAATATGCACAATACAAAGCCTCTTCTGTGTGAATGGAAAAGAGTGTGTGTATGTAAGTGCGTGTCAAAGAAGTCAGACCAAATTTACAACTTTTGTTTTTAGAAAAAGATAACGGAAGACTTTCATTTTTAAATTATATTCAACTTTGTGTTTTCAAACCAATATTCATTAATGATCAGTGTGCTGAAGAACAGAAATAAATTTCTCCTGCAGGTCAGCTGTCATCTCGAAATGCTTCTTCTGCTATTTACAGAGGCATTTTCTATGGCCCTGAGTCCCGTGGGCTTCACACTCAGGTGCTGGGGTGGTGGCCACAATGACAAGGGCTCTCCCTTTAGTCTGCTTTTCCTTCCTCCGTTGCCCAGTCCCAGCGTGCACTTCCCAAGCTCTCAGGCTTGTTCCTGTTTAAATACCCACATCTCCTCTTGCCCTTATTTGGTCAGCTACAGGCTGTCTTTGCTTGTAACTCACAAGTCAATCTCACGGCCCATTCTCCTCCGTA